TATTACTAATGCATCAAATCAAGTTATGAACCAATATAACATGATCTTCTTGCTGTAATCTAAGGTGTTTTTGCTGACCCTAGTTTTCAATGATACACATGTACATGAGTCTTATTTCTTATAACTTACTATGCCACCTGTCAGCAGCATTTATATACTAAGCCTTATATCTTTTATCATCACCCATCGGAGACACGCACGTTAATGAGCCTTAAATATCTTAATATGCTCCGACACCCACATAAATGAGGTCATGGGTTTGCTATCCCAAATTATGTTTCTCCTTTGTGTCTCCTCTCTAATCTTGTGACACGTGTTCCTCCACTTAACCTTAATTTTAACACTGTTCATTTGAATAAAATTTAATTAAAAAAAAACTATTAAAAAAACGAATGGCCACCGTATCAATAACCTGCCCCAATCTCCCTGCAAATCTCCCTGCAATCCTTCAAAGAAACCTTTAAACCCTGTGGAAACTCATCATCATACATCCATTAACTGCAAGCTCTCAACCTTCCCTTCAATTTCAAAGTTCGAACCTTTCCCGCAAGTCGAAAGTTGCAAGCTTCGTCCCTCCTTCATTCTCTGATCCAATTACAACGCAAAACTCAATGAGTATTATCTCTCTCTCTCTCTCTCTCTCCCCCGCTTTGGTATTCTTTGATTATTTCCTATACCCATTGAAGATATTTTTGCAGGTTCTGCTTTTCCCATCATTGACTATCTTCTTTGTTTCATTTGGGGTTTCAAAATCTTTCTTCCTCTCTCTTGCTGGCGAAGATTGTTTGATCACATCGATCGATTAGATATCCTTAAATTTCAACTTCAAACTTCACACGTATTGACGAGATGGATCGATCATCGAGAATTTGAAAAGAGAGAAAAGAAAGGAAGCTTCGCAGTCTGTGAGGAGCAACGTCTCCTCACATTAACGACAATAGGGTGGTGTCACTAGTAGTGGTTGTAATGGTTAGCAACGATGGTGTTGTGTGGTTGTAGCAGTCGACAGTGATGGGGTTGTGTAGATGCAGTCAATGGTTATCAAGTGATGGTTTTTATTTTCTTTAATTTTTAGTTGTTTAATTAGTTTATGAAAAGTTAACAGTGTTAAATTTGGTGTTAATTTAATGGACAAGTGTCAAAAAATTAGGAAATAGACACAAAAGAGACATCAATTTAGGGATAATAGACCCTTAGCCCATAGATGAGACTTATAAGACATAACATAAATCTCCCTAAATTTGTGAACCTAAATTTTCTCTTTGTCTTGTGAGAGAGCTTCTCTCTTTGTGAATGCTTTTCTCACCTCTATGTGAGTTACCTCATTAACCTCATCTTCTTTCTAGCTGCCAGCCCTAGCTTTGGCTAGGGTTGGTGGCAATCTTTTTCTCCTCATTTTGGTTCAATCTTTCTTTCCCCCCCCCCCCAACCCCTTCAGCATCTAATTTCCGTGTGCCTACTCCCTATTTTCATTCCTCATTCCTTACACCTCCACGATTTCAACTAATCCATTCCATATCGTTTCCAATCGACTCATTCCTTCATTGATCCAACAATTCGATTCGTCACCCACTTTTTCTCATTGCGATTTCTCACAATTACAATGCAATTTTTCTCGCTAATCTCTCGGAAGGTGTGTAAAGCTCAAGCTCAAGTGATTACACCACCTCCTTCTTTTAGGGTGTCTTTGATGGCATTGATGCTAATGGGTTTGATAGGAGCATATTTAGGCGACTTAGTTAGCTTGTTTTCGTACATTTATGTTGTTAGTTCATAGTTATTTTAGTAGTTTAAGTTATTTTCGTGTGTTTTTAGGTTCATATGGCTAAGGAAGCAAAAAGGTGCATTTTGGAGCATTTTGGAGCAAAATTGGGCATGGAATGGATAGCATATGCTTGGAGCAAAAGGAATGGACAAAATTGAAAACTTAAAGATGTTAGGATTCCTAATCAAAGTAGGATTCCTAATCAAAGAAGGATTCCTAATCTAAGTAGGATTCCTAATCAAAGAAGGATTCCTAATCAAAGAAGGATTCCTAGTCAAAGAAGGTTTCCTACTTGAAGTAGGAAAGTTAAGCCAAGGTTTCCTATTTTTGTTTGACCTTTCCTAATCCTAATCTTTCCTACTTAATTTCCAGCTATCAAAAGGGGTTCCTAATCAATTTGGGACACTTAAATATATGTCCTAAAAGCTCTAATCCCAGTCCAAGATGGAGCCGCACCTTTCTTACCCTTTTCTTCCAAAATCTGCCACATATCTTCTTTCCCCTTTTCTTCTAGTCAATGCTGCAACTTTCCTTCCCTTTTCCTCTTAGAATTTTGATTTGTAGGAGAAAGAAGAGAGGAGAAGCCTTGGACGTTTTGGCCATTCAAACTTGGATTGTTGGAGCGTTTCTAGGTGTATTCAATCTTTGTTTTCAATGTTTAATTTATATTCTCTTTGTTCTGTTGTAAACATGAGGAACTAATTTTGTTTTGGCTAGAGGAGACTTTGAAACCATGATTATATTTGCAATATGAATTGATTAATTTCAGTTATGATTTCATAAATTGTGAATGCAATTTACTTAACCGTTTGATGGATAACTTATTCCTATTTGTTGATTAAGGGTGCACACTTAATTTGCATGCTTGAATTTGGTGCTAGAATATAAGGGAGTTTCACATAATCGTTACAAACTTATGTTCACAAGTAGTTAAGGTTGTTTTCACAATCATGTTAAGTAAATTCCTAGCATGAGTATCATGATGTCATAGTTACAAGTGTTTTGTCAATGCTTATGATTTTCATTGAACGTAATGATCTTTGATTGTATCTTTATTATGATGTCATGTAGGGAACTTTTGAAGAATGCTTTGGGTTGTCGTATGATGTCATCCAATCCAATAACTTAAGGAAAATCTGAGGGTTAATTAGTGATGTCACGGTTAATCTGGGGTGTTGAGGTTCATGGTTTATCGAAAAGCAACTGGAAATCAATTTGTATGCAAGTGTGTCATGTGTGGAGAAGGACCCTCTAACTAACTAATCACGCATCCATATACCCAAATTCGTTCATAACTTTGTCTAGTTTAGTTTCTGTTTTGTTTTAATTCAAATTCGTCAAAACCAAAACCCCCCTTTGTTTTAAGTGTCAATTAGGTTAGAATCTGAGCTATTGTGTGTTTTTAAGTGTTTTGAGTCAAAACTAATTCAATTTTCGTCCAAAGTAAGTCCTAGAGTCTAGTTTGAGTCTTTTTGATTGTTTTGTGTTGTTTTGAGTCTTTTGAGTTTATTTTGAGTCATATAGGTTTAGTTAAGAGTCTTTGAATTTGTTTAAGTGTTTTAAGCATATTTTTGTATCTTTGAGTCAGTTTTCATTAGATTAGCAATCCCTCCTAATCCCCGGCCTAGAACAATCCCTACTTATATCTATACTACAATCGTCAAAAAGAGGGTTTAATTTGTGTGCTATTATATATCACATCAGGGTTTCTTTTCATTGGTTTTTTTTGTTGTGTGGTGGCGAACGATGTTGTGCTCTCGGATGGAATTTGGAGCCTTTTTTTCATCCATATATGGGTGTGGTAGGAAGCTGTTAGGTTGTTTCAGTGTTTTGTTTGGGCTCGAAAGTCTGATTTTGAGCTTCTCTTTGTTTTCTTTTGGTGGTCCATATCTTGGATGTTTGTATATTGTTATTGGACCTCATTTCTTGTAATTATGTTTTGTTGGTAATGAATTTACCTTTCTTCCCAAAAAAAAAAAAAAAAAAAAAAAGAAGATGCAAGGATTTCCTAGAACTTGGTTTCATAATACTTTACATGTTTTTACATTGCATATCCATAACTAAATGTCACCTCAAGTCATATCAACTTACTATTCACCATACACAGAATCAATCTCAAGTTTACATAAGCAATTTTGTTCACATATACAGTAATAACTCTCTATAGTAATATTTGTGGTAGCAAATTTTGCCGTCTTTGAATTTGACAAAGTTGTATCTACATATTTTAGTTAATTTGTGTGTTGTGACCTTGATCGGAACCATGAATCCAATATATGAATCATAATTAACTAGAATTGAAAGTCAAAGATTTAGGCTTAGATTTGTGGTTGGAGAGGGATGGATTTGCAATGCAAATTCTAGAGATTAAGATGCAGAGAGGTCACCATGATCGAAGAATCAAAAGAAGAGTTAGGGTACAAAACTAAGAAAATGAGAGATAGACGAGAGAGAAGGTGAAATTGTCTCGATAGAATCGCGTCTTTAGACAGAGACCGAGGATACCATGTTGAGGAATTATGATTTCATCGATAGAGAGATATGATTACATGTGCTATTTGTATACGAGGCATCAACAGACTCTCTAAGTCACAACTCACCCTTATCAACTAATAACAAATTCTAACTAATCTAAAAATATATAACAACAAATAGTAAACTAAGTTCGATTAGAATATTGACTAGAATTTCCCTTATCACTTACTTGTAAGCCACGATTACATATTGGTGAATTAAATGATGATGACTAAAAGATGCTGAAATGCCTATGTGAGTTTTCTCGACCCCGAAAAGATGAGTTGTCCTAGTAAAGCTGCTAACCAGTCCTCTTGAAAAAAAAAAACTCATCAATATGATAAATAGAGTAAAGATATAAACTAGACGCAATTTCAAAATCCAATAGTAAAATGTAGAAAAATAGATATTCGTAAATGATAGTCAGCCCCAAAAATGTATGAATCAAAGCCCTTTAAAATAATATTTATTTTAGTTGTTATAAATCTGAATAATATAAATTTTATTTTTTTCTTGGCTGAAAAGCAAAATAAGAGAGAGAGGGGGGGCCAGTGAAAGTGATACTAATAAATAGAAAAGTAGAAGAGAAAGAAGAGAGGAAATAAGTTAGGGATTTGGATTTAATGACCCGTAACAGCGCAAGTAATATAGGCCTTGTACCTCTGCATCCCTCCACCCCCTCTCTCCCCCGCGAAACCCACCACAACCTCCAATCTGGATTCCCTTCCAAATGTCCAAATCTCCCGACTTTCCAAAACCCATCCTCCCCCCACCAATCACTCTTTGACTCCACTCAACTTGTTCAAGCACCAGCCGCCTCAGCCGCCGCCTTCCACCCCCAAACACAGGGACTCCACCTCCAAGAAGTCCTCCTCCACCCATCCTCCCGACCTCCACCACAACATCCACCGTCCCCCTCCCGCCCCCGCCTCCACCGCCACCTCCCTTTCATGCTCCAACCCAATGTTCTCCTCCACCCCATTTCTGGTCTCTTTCTTCCTCTTCCTTTCTCTCCCTCTCCTATTCCTCCTCGGCCCTCGCTTCCTCCCCCCCTCCCACCCCACCGTCCCCATTTCCCCCGCCGACGAACTCGACGACCAAATCCTCTTCTCCCGCGCCCTCAACCCTAACCCTAACCGACCCAAACCCACCTTCTCCCACCTCGCCCTCGATTCCAAATCCTCCAAGCCCAAAATCGCCTTCCTCTTCCTCACCAACACCGACCTCCACTTCGCCCCTCTCTGGTCCTGCTTCTTCTCCAAAACCAACCCCAATCTTTACAATATTTACGTCCATGCCGACCCCTCTGCCAACGTCACTCTTCCCCCCGGCACCGTCTTCCACAACCGCCTCGTCCCCTCCAAGCGCACCTACCGCGCCTCCGCCACCTTGATCTCCGCCACGCGCCGCCTCCTCGCCTCCGCCATCATCGACGACCCTGCCAACATGTTCTTCGCCGTCCTCTCCCAGCACTGCGTCCCCCTCCACTCTTTTCGATACGTCTACCATTCCCTCTTCTTCTCCACCACCTTCGACTTGACCCGCCCCGCTGCCGACTCCGACGATGCCGAGTTGACTCGCATGGGACTCAAGATCCGCTACAAGAGCTTCATCGAGATCATCTCCAAATCCACCAATCTCTGGAAGCGGTACTCCGCCCGAGGACGCTTCGCGATGATGCCGGAGGTTCCATTCGATCAATTCCGGGTCGGATCTCAGTTTTTCCTCCTTACGCGCCATCACGCGCTCGTGGTGCTCAAGGATCGCGCGCTCTGGAGAAAGTTCAGAGTGCCGTGTTACAGAGAAGACGAATGCTACCCGGAAGAGCACTACTTTCCGACCTTGTTGTCAATGGCGGATCCGGAAGGGGTAACCCGTTACACTCTTACCCGGGTTAATTGGACGGGCACGGTTAACGGGCACCCGTACACGTACCGACCCGGGGAAGTGTCGGCGGAGTTGATTTATCGGCTGCGGAAGTCTAATTTCTCGGAGTCGTACTTGTTCGCGAGGAAGTTCTCGCCGGATTGCCTGAAACCCTTGTTGGATTTGGCCGATAAAGTCATTTTCCGGGACTGAGATTCGCCGCATTCACTCTGGTAAGCGTTTTTTTTTTCTATTTTTTATTTTTTATTTTTTTTCTTTTTAATTTTGTTTTTGGTGAGTTAGGAGTTGACTCGGTTGTTCCTTGTTAGCGAGTGGACTCAGTTGTGAGTTTGGTCCGTAACAGTAACCCGGGAAAATTGGATTATTTGTTAGGGGAGGTAAGTCCGTGTCGTTTAAAATGGGAATGGAAATTTTGTGCCTTCCACGAAAATTCTACAATGCGCATCGGTTCAGTGGACGTCTGGATTTGCATGACTGAATTTTGACGATCTCGACCGTTTAAATGCGGTTGAGATTGCAAAACCTTCCAATTTTCCAACCCATTTTTAAATTTTAATGTGTTTTCTTTTTCGGATTAAAATTGTTGATTTAAGATTAATAGGTGTATCATTGTAAGATGTGATCATTATATTCTCGTGTTATTTAAATAATGACAAAAACACATTGAGAGTTAGGTAGCTTCAACCTTCAAGACTTAATAGCTTGCTTGTAGTGCGATGCCACTCTAAAACTCCCATTTTTTTTTTTTAATAAATACTCATTAACCATCTTGTATTTTCAATCTCAGTCATTCATCTATCTCTCGTATCACAAAAGTAATTCATTAAAACCACAAAAGAAAAGGTTGTTGCGCACATGTCACGCTTGCTTCTATGTCCGTCCACCTTGGAATTTCTTTGTAAAGAGGAATGACTGCTTACGTCGTAACACATAAATATTGCCGATTTACATAGAAACAATTAAGTGAATTGGGTATCTATTTGCTCGTGCAGGTGAAAAGAAGTTGGAGAAACCAAGTGGGAATGTGGTTTTGGAGAGGCGTAAAAATTTGCCCCCAAACTATCGAATCCCATATAGGAAATTCCAACCCAGTCCTCGTCTCAGACATCATGTCAAAAGAGGCCGAGGGAATCAACAAACAGATAAAGAGGAGAAGGGTAAGCTAGTAGGGCCATTTTTGTCTTTTCGATGCGTGTTCTTCGTGTACATATTGGTATGAAATGCAGAAATCGAGTGCTGTCTGTCTCTCTAATACACGACGAGAAGAAGAAGAAAAATAGGCCCTACGTTGGAGGGATGGTGTTGGGCCTAGGGCGGTAATGAAACCGTAAGCCCGGCCCATTTCTTTTTCCAAGAATTTTTCTTTAAATTTTTTGCCTTCCCTCCTATAAAATGGAAAATTGTTGTGTATTTTGGTAAAATGTATGTAGATTCCATTGAGAAAAATGTTGGCTACATAAGATAAATGTTCTTTTGTTAGACTGAATCTGCAATATTGACCGGATTAGATTTTGTTAGATCGCATATTTTTTGGATCGCATTATATTTCGTGAGGTATTTCTATGTAGAGAAATAACAATCGCGCATTATTTTTCTAGAGACACATGGACCGTGTAAACCAAATTATGGGAGGATATGTAAGTATGAAGAAATGGGCTTTTTAATTAGAAATTGTTCTAAATTTGAATTTTGTTAACGACGAATTTAATATTAATTTATTACAATTGCCTAATTGTATTAAAAATATGTAATGTCAAGTTACACTATTGATGTGTAAGTCGATGATACGGATGATTCTCATGTGTTCAAATAGTACATTATTTGTTTGTAGGATGATTATAACGAGGATTGCAAGAGAATTTTCTCGGTCTAATTAATGTTTGTTTTTGGGTTTTTTTTTTAAACAAACAATATTATATATACTAATAGGAATGAGAGGCTTAACCGCATAATAAGTTAACAATAATGTGGTTTATATTTACTTTTGACAAGAATTGAACTTAAATCTTGTCATTTACAAATGAAGAGGAGTGTCAATAAAAATTTTATAATTCGAAAGGGATTCAAAATGACATGTGTTGATTGGCTTCTTTGGTAAATTAAGCGTTTTTACTTGATTTATGTAGAACGAATAGATGGACAAGGTATGATTGATGTTAGCTGGAATCAATGAATGCGCTATTTATGTGGGATACATCCCAAGCACTTGCAGCAAGCTCATAACCACATGATATTAAAATCAACGGCGGTAGGCCAACCAACCACTTGCCTCTCCTCTCAGCTTTCCTTGTGGGGCCCCAACCGCCCGTATTAGTTTAGATTGGTCCTACATCATATTCTTCGTACCAAATAACGATAAACATTTGTTTTTATTTTTGTACTGTTGTGATGTCATGTGGTGTGCCATTGCCAATTCTATTAATATCATTAATGTCAGAAAACGTGGCGGTGTCTGTGTGAAGTGTGAACGCGATGCCTCCTTCATGCTATCTTCGGATTCAATCCAACTATAATTATGTAATTATACCTCTAAAGATGAGCTCCGTTGTCCGCTCCTTATTTTTTTATATTTTATTTAATTTAATTTGATTTGGATACTTGACCACTTTTTTTTAATTGCAAACGACAATTCATTTTCCTTGTCGTCGTTCATCACGGATGCACAAGCTCACCGCTAGAGAAGCAGATTGTGACTTTTTCATTTTTTTCTGTTTATACAGTCACAGTTAAATTACGTCAATATTTTATAGTTTTATTTTTTTTTGTCTTATTATCTTTATAAAAAAATCAATATAAAATGTTGACGTGGTTTAACTGTGATCACACAAAATAGAAAGGAATGTGAAGGACATCCAAACATGAGAGTTGACGATCTGCTTCCCACCGCTAGCTACCCTCAACCCAATTTCAACATATAAAATGACACATTCTTCTGGATCTATACACACACATATACATGGAGTAGTATTCTCTCTCCTCTTAGTCTCCTTTCTTTTTCGTCTCCTCCTATTTGAACGGTTACAATTAAGCCACATCAACGTTTTGTGTTTATTTTTTAATAGTCAGAAGAAAACGAAAAACAATATGTGAGAGGAAGGAAATAATGGTATGAGAATACGAGGAGAAAAAAAATCTTACTTTATGTATAGATATATGATATGGGTGGTGGTGGGACTGCTAATTCATGACAGAATGGTGCTCCATCTTTGACTTTCAGGCATCCATGGAAGTATATGATACTAGTTTTCCATCTGGTACTGGTAACTTATCATTTTTACACATCCACCTGCCTACCTACAAGAATGGTTGGTGATGTTTACACTTTACAGCACTGAAACGCCTAAAGTTAGATACTCATTATCTTATGTGTTGAAAATGTATACTACGTATTCTCGAGTAAAAGGTTGACAAGTGAAGAGATAGTGATATGAAAGAATTTCTCGTAAATTTGACATACATAAACACATAGTCACTAGCCAAGTGTATACAAACTACAAAACTATTTAATCACTGTTATTTTGGGGATGTTCATCCCTAGGAAAAGGAAAACTGTTTGGCTCATTCCGACTTTTGACGCATGCATCTTAGATTTAGGCTTAATCAAGTCAACTAAAAGGGTTAGTATTCTACTATGCAATCAAGTTCGAATTACATTCTCGCTTTTTATATTAGATGTATAATAATACTAAAATAATGATCATCACGAGTTAAACATGCAAAATGTATTTACATATCTCGTCAAAGTTAGCATATGATCAAGTTGTTGTCTACAAGAAATCGGCCGACAAAACCCAAAAGAAAAAATGAAAAAAATAGCTAAATGAAAAGTTGGAATACATGAAAATAAATTGGAGTCTATTTTCCATCGAAATTATTGCATCACTTTATCACTTGAGTCAATTAATGTCCGTCCGATCTGAATCTGATGGTCCTCCATTCAAAAGTGGTTGAGAGATTGTTAGTAATCTATGACCAAGCTTTCTTTTTTTAGAAACAAAAAAATTGTTGGCAAGTCACGATTATCCACCTCTTTTGAATCGGAAAAAGTTATGAGAAATTTCACTATGCTCGTGGCCACAATCAAGCAAACTCACTAGTTTAGAGTATCAAAACCGGGACCTCCCACAACTTTTTGTTTATTGGGGAGTTGCAGTTTGCGCTCTTACTATTGGGTCACTAGATGTGGTTTAATCTATGACCAAGCTGACTTCTCAATCTACCTCCTTCTGTACTGTTTTTGTAAGACTATTTTACCATCATTATCTTGCAGCTTAGATTATCTCCAATGGAAAAATCAAATTATTAGAGTCAAATTACGATTGATGGCTGATGTGATAATTTGAAGTCTTATGTTAAATTTTATGTTTCTCTAACCGATTTGTCAAATATATTTTTTTTATTAATATAGAGCTTTAAATGGTTGTATTTATTAAAAAAAATTATTGAAACAAAATTTTATTGGTTTAAATGTTAGTGGAAAAAGGGACTCACCATTAAACTAATAAAAATTAATTTAAAGTTGAAGTCAAATTTGACTCCTAAACACAAAGACTTCAAATCTAGTTAGCAAATCATACTTCGGTTGGAAGGATTTTTTATGTCAAATATGCACAGTCATATCTCCACCTAGGATTTGACATCTTCTTTGAAATACTCTTAAATCACTTGATTCTCGTGTAATTTCATATTTAAGTTGGTTGATATTCATCTGATCTTGTAGTCTTAAATTAACCTAAATTACGGTTGAGTAAATTTAAAGTTAAGTGTAAAATAGAAACACATTATTTAGACCAACTTGACAAATCCAAATTTGCATAATAGAGGCTAACTATTTATTCAAATTCTACTTTATACTAAATTATGTGACAGTATCTTATACGTTGCGAATAGATAAGGTTCAAAGTGGAACACTACATATGAATTGAGATCTAAAAAAGTTAGGTAATAAATTAATTAGTGGTTGTAGAAAAACTCATATCCGAAACATTGGATGCTATTAGTGTCCTCCTCTCTACTTGGAAGCTGTCCAAACTCCAATTGTCTCTTTCTTTTCATTGAAGGAATGAATTACCATACATCTCCACGTTGGAGGGTATCCTTTTTCTTGGTCAATGTTTGGCGCTACCCTTGCTCCCATCGAAAGTAAGTTTTGCTACTTGTCTCCATACCTTTTTTTTTTTTTTTTTGGAGGGTAAAATGAGAGAAAGATTTGTA